TTTTTTTTTTTCTTCTTCTTCTGCGCCCACTACAGATCATCGTCAGTTAAATAATCCAAATCAATCTCGTCAATTTGTCGTCATCAAAAATCTATAGAAGACAATTTCAATGACAAAAGTCAATATGTTGCAGTGGAGACGGCGAGGCAGTGAAACAGTGCCAGAGAAAACACACAAAAAAAAGAATGTAAAGAAAAAAAGAAAAAAGAAGCCAAAGAACACAGTTTCTGTTCCCTCTCTTTGATCGTTGCCAATAAATACCTAACAATTTGGATGTATTCTATGCTCTTACAGTTTTTCTCAATGTTATTTCGATTACACCTCCTCTTATTCATTTATTTTTTGTTGTAAAACTGAATAAGTTGACTAAACTTCAGAAACAGTATTAAGAAAATGCAGACAAAGTAGGAGCAATAAGACAAAAAAAAAATATATATATATATGAGAATTTTCTTGATAAATTGTTGATTGAATATTTGCAAAAATTCTTGTAAAACTTTTTTTTTTGCTGTTAACAAATACGTGTAATCCTTTGATAAAAATTTTCAAAAAAACTAAACAAAAAATTTAGTTCATTCTTCTCTAACAGAACGAAAAATACTAATTTTTTTGGAACATATATGAATAAAATTATTTCGAGGGTTAAAAAAGTCTCAAATAAAAGAATAAGTATTTTTACAGCAGTGTACTCTATTCTTTTTTTCTTTTTTCTTAGCTATGGTTATTCGGCAGACAAATGCAGATTTTAATGTTGAAGGCAGAAGATAGAATTCATTTTTTATTTTAACTTTTTTTTTGTTCTGTTTTTTTTTTTTTTTGTTTCAAACTTATTACACATTCAGCAAAGCAAACACGCGAAATGGCAATATCACAGAATCTGTTGAGGTAGAAAACCAAATTTTAGAGCGAAACTTTTTTCCATCACTTTTAACCATTAATTTTTTCTATTGTAATGGTTAAGGTAGAAAAATTATAAAAACTCTAAGACTTAAATAGACTAAAATCATAAGCAAAAAATTTATTTTAAACATTTGAAGGTTCTGTTAAGGAAAAAGAAGACAGTCAAAAAAAAACTTATTCTTTTGTCGGTGTCACCTATTATTTTACACTCAATTAAACAAACACTTCGCCCAAAATATGGCTTTTCTGTTCCATCAAAAAAAAAAAAAAAAAGAAAGAAAAAGGCAAAGCAAGCGAGCAAACAATTAGAAGTATAAAAAAGATTAACATAAAAAACTAATGTTAAAGTTGATGAGTGATTTGAAGCACAAAAGAAGAGAAGCACCATTATCAGTACAGATTACTTCAATTTGAAGGCAATAACAACTGAACGATAAACGAAGCTGTCAATCAAAATGAAAAGATAAAAAAGATTAAAAAACTTTTTTCCTTAATCTAATTCACAATAGCATTAACAAAACTGAAGAAGCAAAAGTAAAAATACATTGAAAGCAACATTTTGTACAAACAATACAACTATTATTGTTCATCTTTTCAGATTTTATCTAAAAAACTAACTTTCCAAATGTCCCAGCAAAATTCTGGCAAAAATGCAGTTAAGAATTCTTTAGTTTCACCTCCTTCTTTCTTTCTTTCTTTCTTCCACTCTACTTTGCCTTCCAACCAAATAAATATAACCTAATTTTATCAACAAAAACCAAAACAGTGTAAAGACAAAGCAAAGTAAAAAGAAATAAAAGAAAAGTAGATATAAAATTAAATAATAAAAAAATTGCTTTTCTTTTACATTTTGAACTTAGCCCAGTACATTGTCAATTAATTCAGTGTAAAACGAGAAAAAAAAGTTGCGGAAATAAATCTCATCTGTTTGTTTCTGCATTTTTCAACATTTACAACTGCCGATTGATCTTTTGGCTGTCGTAATTTAATATAAATAAACATTTAAAATTTTCTAATCACTCTTTTCTTTTTTTTGTTCAGAAGAAAAGTCATTCTTTTCTTCCACTATTCATTAAGCAACTAACTGTTCTTCTATCTGCAATTAAAATATTTAACTCACTACAATATGCAGCGAACTGAATCATAAAACAGTTTTTTTGGCAATAAAATTTGCAGTTTGTTGCTGCTGTGCAGCCATCCAAAATGCATAGTCGTTTGGTGAATACGCTCCAACCGGTCCGGTTACCGGCGGTACCGGTAAGTGCAGCTGAGGTCCAAAATTACCGTGGAAATACGGCGATTGACCGTTTGGTAGTCGAAGGCTGCCGATTGGTGCTGTGGCCGCCGTAAACGGAACACCGTACGGTGCAAGTCGTGTGGCTTGTTGAAATAAGGGCGAAAACATTGCGGCTGCCGCCATACCGTACTGCTTTAACGGCCCCAAACCGGTTCGTCCATTCGACGACTGTCGCCGACGTAATTTACCGGTGGAGCTACCAATAAAAATTTCTTCCTTATAGGCCGGGTCAATCATCCAATAGTTACCTGGAATGAAAGTAACAGTGGTCTCTATGAGACAATAACTTATTGTAGAATAGGTTGGATTTTAGAACAACGCCATTGCTACTACAACACTATTGGTGACGGCCAAACCGTGGTTAAATAATCATTTTGGCAACTTGATGACACCACTGTACAGCACCAACCTTTTCCTGGGTCATCGTAACTTCGAGGCACTTTGATAAAGCATTTATTCAACGACAGGTTATGCCTGATTGAATTTTGCCACCCTTGTTTATTGTCTCGATAAAACGGATATTCTCTGATAATATAATCGTAGATCCCACTTAATGTAAGCCGTTTCTCTTTGCTGTTTTGTATAGCCATCATAATTAGTGCGTTATAACTAAACGGCGGTTTTCCTGATTCATCTGCCTAAAATGGCAAAAAAAAAAAACTGAAGAAGTACCTTTTGCAAATTCCTTCAATAAATTAATTGACGAGCAGAATAAAAATAAGTCAAATGTTAGTCTGTTCATTATTTTTTAGTAACAAACAAACAACAAAAGGTTTACTGAAACTTTTGAGAACACTTATCAAAACAACCCAGTTTATTACATTAATTTTTCTCTGTCTCTCTACCTTTGAGAGCATTGAAAATCAGTTATTGCATAATAAAATAGCAAAAAAAAAAA